TCGTGTTGCCGACAGTCCAATTGGATTATTGAGAATTCGATTGTGACTTTAACCAAAGGCCATTTTTGATGTTTAAATATGCTTTGGATGGATGAATAAGTAAATCATAAGATATTTTAAAGATTATTTAAGTTTATAAGTTAAATTTTATATTATGATCATTTAATCACTCTATTTGGATGTTTCTCCAATTTGTGCCTATAAATAGAGGCTTAAACCTTAGAGTTTTTACACCAAAATAATTACTAAAGTCATATGAGTTTGTGAGAGAGAGTGAGAAGGAGTAATCTTTGGAGAAGTAAGGACATTAGAGTGAAGAATCAAGTTTTTAACTTCACCTAGAAGGAGGTAATTTACTTATCTTAATGTTTCATATTTGAGTTCATGCTTTTATGATAAGTTTACATGTTTATGAGTATGTATATCATGATGTAGAAGTTGGAGTTTATAATTGATAAAATGAGTTAAAGATGTTAAAGATCAATTATGTGATATATGTGCTTAATGAAATGAGATGTTGATTTGCATGAGATTTTCATGAAGATATGAATATGCTGGAAAAGTATGATTTAAATGAATAATTCTTGTGTAAAAGAGGAGTACATGAGATCAAGAATTTAGTGATTTGGCATAGTATAACTTAAGTTATGAATTTTTGAAGATGAACATGTAAGATGAAGTTTATGTTCACTATGACTTTAAATTCTCATAACTTGATGAATATGAATGATTAAATTATGAAATTTTGATGACATGTCTATTTAGAAGTTGAGATTATGACTGTTAAATTTCATAATTTAAAGATGAGAAATGAATGAGTTATGAATATGAGATGGCATATATGTGAAGATGAGTATATATATATACAAGAATATTCATGAGATGATCAAGATATTAAAATGAGATTTTTATGATCTATTCTCATATGAGTGATGAGTAAATTTGATGAAGATGGTTTAATATGTTGAGCATACAATTTTATAAAAATTGTATTAAGTATGGCATATTAATATCATGATTGGATGTGATGTTTAAAAGATGAATATGATTGAGTTTAATTTCACTTTCAAGATGTAAAAGTGAAAAATGAGTATGAGTAAATATGAATGATTTGGAGAATATGATATATGATGAGATTGATTGAGTAAAAGAGTGAGAAAAGTTAATTTGAAATGATATGATTATTGAAATTTCTATAAGATTTTAATAAGTTATCCGAATGAATTGAGAAAACCGAGCATCTTATTGAGTAAATGAGCATAAGTACTTAGTATATTTGTTTATATATTTTTATGTAGCTTGAGGAGGTTGCTATACGAGAACAACACTTACGAATTTACAAACGACGAAAGGTGGGGACCCAGACTGGGTATTACATTGAGTATAATATTGATATCATGTCCGAGGTATGTAAAAGTTTAAGTTTATACGCTTGGGAAGAAGGCTGATGAGTTGCCTTACGAGTATTTCCTAAGTTCTAATGGAGGCCGTTGAGTTGCCTGAGAAATATCCATTAGATTGTGCACAAGTATCCGATGAGATATCGGTGAGATGAAGTTGAGATACTGGAAGAGTTTTAAGTCCAGTTATATACCGGAGATCATGATATTGTATTATTATTGCTGTTTACTTTAGTATGGGTGTTTTTCGGGGTACAAGAGGATCGTACTCACCCCCATTGTGTTTTTCAGGAAACAGGGTCGGGCCGGAGGTGTGAGCTCGAGACGTTGTGGTGGTGGTTGTGCATTTCCAAGGATTTTTATGAAGTCTTTAATAAAGTTTGTATAATAAATCACGCTTTCGATTATTCCGCTACGCATATTGACTATTGAACTTGCATTTTCTTAAATGAATTTATGATTTGAAGTTTTTATAAATTTGAGAAGGATGGATATGGTTAAATGCAAGTTTAAAGAAAATCTATTTAATTATGTCTAAAAGAGTTATTAGACAAGAGTTTAAAGATAAATGGATTTTCAAGATGTAAGGTTGAGTAGCATCCCGAACTAGTCGCAAAAGATTTCGAAAGAGATATGAGTATTTTCGAAGTAAAAGTTGCGAAAAATTTACTCTGATAAGCGGGGTGTTACAGCCGGAAAGCTGCGACAGTTTCTATGCGGGTTGCTGGCCGCCGGTGATGAGGATGACGATAACGAGCGAGGGTGATGAGATGGACTGAGAAAGTTTGAACGCGACGATATTGATGGTGAGAGGACGATGATGATGGAGTGATGATGAGATTTACGATCGAATTTCTGAGATTTGGGCGAAAAGGGCGAAAAGGAAAAGGCTGCGATGGAATTTCTGGGATGAGAATCGAGATGGACAAATATATATATACATACTCTTAGGTTTAGGAAATAGGTCTTGATGTCCAAAAAAAAAAATAAGTCTCCACACTGTTGTACGCGTGAAAATAGAAGGAGAAAAATCTGTCGGGCCGGGCCCAACTCGGGTCGCGGGCTAATGTGGGCCGAAGGTTCAATTAAAGGCATACGGTTTTCTCGGGCTCGATAAATCGGTTGATTTAGCCAATATAAAATGGCTCGGTTCGCACGATATTTTAAAACAATAATTCGGCTATTATAATAAAATATATTACACAAATTATTAATAATAATAATACACATCAAGCATTTATTAGACAATTAGGCACTTAAATAAAAATAATTATAACAATAATAATAATAATGATGGCAATAATATTAATTTAAAATCTCAAATATTCCATAAATGAACGGGGCGCTACACCTGCCCTACGAGCTGCACGGATTTGATGAGCTGTATGCCCGAAACTGCCCGGATCTGCCCGTCCGTACACACACAGTGTGTGTGTGTCAGAGGTGGTTATCGCCACTATCATTGCACGCCAATATATCCTCGCCACGTGTTCTCTGCACATGGGGTAATTATTCCCTTGAATATTCCTCGAAAATTCCTTAGAAAGCCCACGCTCTTCTTCATGTCTTGATCAAGCTCCCGATTGCTCTTCGCTCGCGGGGTGGTCGATCCAATGATCACTCATTCAGTAGGTCGATCTTCGACCAGATCTGCCCCGATATTTGACAACTACCTTTCAGCCTGCTATTGCTCGACCATCGTGGCATTACTCGTACGGCCAACGTAGTGAACCGGTTTATTCCTTCGAGTATATAATATCCCATATCAGTTACATTTTTAATGTTGATTTTTTACTCTTTTTTGTGTAAGCACATTATTAATAGTATTTATTTTTTTCTTAAAAAAAGTTCATTTGATAAGCCCTCATCAACAAAAATGCTATGCAATGTGGTGCAAAAATTCAATTTAAATCAAATTTTTAACCAAAAAAATTATTTTTCCATAAATTATAAATGTTAAATTTAAATTATTAATACACGAATCTCTTTTTTTTTTTGTTTTTTTTTTAAAAGTTTGAGGGTGATACAATCCTAAATTTATAAAAACTTGATGGTGCACGTATCTATATTTGTATTTATAGTAAATACATTCTTTTATGAAATGAGTATTTTGACCTAAACTACAAGTTCGTTATTTAACATTTTAAATCGGGTCCCTCTGAGTCAAATTTCTCGATCCGTCATTGATAAGAAGTACAATTTTCAATGAAAAAATTTAATAACAAGTATTATTTTAAAAAAATTAATAATATGAAGTATGAATAAATGTTTGGAATCTAAATGAGAATTTCTATTTTTTAGTTATAAGTATATTTTTTAGTTATCGTCTTATCGATGGATTGCGGGTGCCTACGGTGCTAACTAACACAACACCCTCTACTGTGTTATTTATTGACCATTGGATTACAATACTTTAATCTAATGGCTCAAAATTTTTATTTATTTTTTAATCACACAACAAAATAAAATGCTTGTCCACTACCATTTTTAATTCCCGCTTCTAGCACCCCGCCAACCTACCAAGAAAAAATACGCCCTTCAACACAAAAACCCTTCAGTGCATATAATTAATTTTTGTAATATGTCAATCACTTAGAAAATTATATATGTAGGAGAGACAACATATTAATTGATTATTTCAAGAGAGAATAAATATATAAATTGTAATTCTAAATAAATATGTTTTTCTAAACAATGTCACAATTTAAAAAAATTAGAATGTGGCTAAATTAACTAAATGGAAGTCTTTTGAAAAGTTTGATTATTTAAAATTTTATAAGTTTCATATTTTTAATTACATATTACTTAAAAAATAATGGATTGATATTTTTTTATTTTAAAAAGTGTATATTGAAATTATATCATTTCTTTGAGATAGTTAAAATAATGGTTTGATAGATGACCCTTTATTTTATCAATCAATGTAATATTATATAATTAATATTTGAAACTTTTTTATTTTTATTTTTAAATGTAATGTTATATAAATGTTGGACAAATATTATTTAATTAAATGTTTGTCGTTAGCCCTTTATTTTATCAACTATGAATTTCATGTTCAAGTAAATGTTGGTTGGGCTGTGCGACTTTGCGTTTCGAGCTCGTTTGGGCTCGTCCGAACTCGGAATTGAGTTCCGTTTTTTCCTACGCGTCGCTAAGGAACCTCTCTATTCAACGATGCTTACATGGCCAATTTATTGTTAAAATCATATTCTCCCAAAGCTCTTGACCTACACACTAAACGTGTCTCGCGTGACTTTGCTTTTTGGCCCCGTTCGGACTCGTACAAGCTCGAAATTGAGTTTTGCTTCTTCCTTTATGTCGTCAACGAACGCGTCTGCACAACCATGATTGTTCGGTCAATTTTTGGGCTAAATCTATTCTTCACGGGGCTTTCGACCTGTACACTAAAAACAAGAAGAAACACTGGAAAAACACACGAAAAATAGATTTATGATTTATGAATTACCGACATAAGAACTGAAATATATATTATCATGCTCTTCACCATTTCGAACATTGAAAAAGACATAAAAATGTACAAAAACAAAAAAAGATGTAAGAAAATATGATAACAACTTTCTTTTCAAGAGACATCCATTATTCCCCCATATCCGGATGTTCCACTATAAACAAGTGCATAGATACGTCAATTATAGCTAACTTCAAACAAAAACTTGACACAGGAGAACACAATGAAAACATTCAGGAGTATGAGAATTTTGACTAAAATGGATACTATTTCATCCTCACTTGTTCTGAAGACTAACTTCTTAAATCAACCTCCAGTTACTAAAAACTTATTCACCATACCAAACAATCAAGATCACACTTACACAGTTTCACCTCAACCAATAATATATTAATATTAATGTTGCAGTAATTTTACGAATATAGGTAAACAAAATGAAATGATCCGGTAGACACAAAAGAGGAAATAAAATTACATGTCAAAACAACACAAAAGAAATTAACTACAACTTGGAATAGTCAAAGCAATGACATTCTTCACATAAAAATTTAAGATAATGATCCGGTAGAGAAAGAAAACGCCTCCTATGGGTGGTTGGTATTCCGCATCGCCACAGGATCCTACAAAATTTTTTAGGTAAACAAAAACATGCATATTAGAAAACAAATCATGCTTGGTATTCTAAAAAAATAAATTCGAGCCTCATGTAAGAGCTTCATTCTTCTTGTTCGTCGTTTCCCTTCTTTCGTCTTTAGACCTTTCAAGTTTCCGATGGCACTTTCGACATTTTTCAAGATATCACCATCTTTGGAAGTTTCTTCTCTCATCGATGCCTCGTAGATTTTGTCCATGTTTTGTTCAAACATGTCCTCCATTAGGCTACGTGCAACCTCACTCTTTGCAGCTTGGTATGACATTCTCAAAAATAATGAATGCATTCTTTCGTTCCATTCCATGAAACTATGACCAATATCCTTGGATTTGAACGATCAAATCTCCTTGCTTTTCTTTCCCACCGACTTAAGATGAACTTATCCGGAAGCTCTAATATATCAAAGAACTTGAATACCCTCAAAATATGGGAATATATCAATCCCTTACTCTCAAACATCATGCAACTATACGAGAAAAATCATCGCTAACACGAAATACTTGGAATTCCTTATGCATAACACCATGAAGCACAATCACAAACCAAGTAGGCACCTCAATAGTCTCGTTTTCTTTAATTATAGATATCATTGATCGCTTGTACTCTTCTTGAAAAAGATTAAATATTGATGGTGTGTACCTTTTTTATGCCTCTTGCAATATCGGGCACTCGGTGATGCTCATCGAGGGAACTTGTTGTCGTGCTCTAAATTCGGAAGCCAACTCCTTATCTCTTTTATCATCCACCACTCGATCAAAATGGTTAAAAAAATCACTGATATGTAAAGCGCAATTCAAATGATTTTTTAAGTCCTTATTCAAACTCTCACTTAGCTGCGTACTACGAATACCCAAAGTGAAAACATGTTTCATAAAACATCTTGCCCATTTATTTTTCACAGCATAAGTCCGCTTCAACCAAGAGTTCTCTTGTAAGTCATGCTTTTGTAACATATTACTCCAAGAAGCTTCAAACTCATTAGCATTAGTATACTCATACATACAACGATTAAAATCACCCAATAAGCCAGTTTCGGGCCTATGAAAACATGATAAATGCTTTAATGCTTGTTGATTAATATTCCACATGCACAAGCCATAAAAAGAATCTCCCATAACTATACCCAGTGCATTAGCCATTGCTGTATCTTGATCAGTAAATATGGTGAGAGGCTTTTTTCTACCGTGTTCCCTCAAAAACGTCTCAAAGAGCCAAACAAATGACTCTACCGTCTCATCGTATAAGAAGGCAACACCAAATATTGTGATCTCTCTATGATGATTAATAAACCTGTAAAAACGCCGAGGGGTCTCAACTCTTTGTTAGTCCCATATGTCGTGTCGAATGTGATACCATCACCAAAATCAATATAATCAACTTTCATTTTACCATCAACCCAAAATATATTACTCACGAGGCCACCATCATCAAACTCAAAATCATAAGAAAATGAAGCATCGATGCTTTTTTTCCTCTCAAAATACTTCATAATACTACCAAGCTCACCTAATATTTTTTCTTTTTTTCTTCTATTTCTCAAATATGTTTTTTGATCTTCCTTGATAGATCCTAGATGTTCTCTCCCACCAGCCTCCCTAATCAACAACTCTTGAGTTGCTTTAGGGGTAATTCCAGAATCATTTGCTATATTGATGGCTAATGCTTGAGACATACTTACATTTCTGTTACAATGAAACATATGAAAGGTATCACTTGACTCAAGCTCATGATTATGAGTTGCCACAAAATTCTTGACAATATACTTTCCAGAAAGAGAATTTAGTGCAACATTCAACTTTGCTTGACAACCTGTTCTTACTTGGGCACGTTGACGGGATTTATCAATGACTCTTTTATCGTCTTTGCGAAATCTCTCTTTATAACATACAAATACGGCACTAGTAACAACTCCATCCTTTCTCCGCTTCTTTGAATAATCTTTTCGAACATCGAAACCTTGCCTTTTGCCATATTTTTGCCAACTAACCCAAGCATCATCCATAGAAATGAACTCAATTCCAATTTGAAAGCACTCCCCATGCGAATCATCAATATTTGGTGAGCTTAAATTAATTTCTTCATCATTCATAGCATCAATCCTACATCAAATACAAACAAAATATTAAAAAAAAAAAAAATCTTAAACAAAAGGTGTAAAATTTTTAAATAAAAAAAAGAAGTGAAAATACCTTTCAATCTCAATGTTATTCCTATCTGTGAATCCATTCTCTGTTTCTCCATGGTCTTCGTTGATTAACATATTACAAAAATTAATTATATGCACTGAAGGGTTTTTTGTGTTGAAGGGCATATTTTTTCTTGGCAGGTGGGCGGGGTGCTAAAAGCGGGAATTGAAAATGGTAGTGGACAAGCATTTTATTGTGTTGTGTGATTAAAAAATAAATAAAATTTTGAGCTATTAGATTAAAGTAATGTAATCCAATGGTCAATAAATAACAGTATTTTATTTATTTAAAAAAAAATAAAAAAAATGAAGTGGACAAAAAAAAAGGAGTGGAAAAAAATAAAAAGGACGTATTCTATGAATACGTTTTTCTAATTAAAGTTTATTAGAAAACGTATTCATCGAATACGTTTTTATATTAATTTTTTAAAATTTTAAAAGTATTTATTTTCTTTTAAATAGAGTCGAATTGAATTTATTAATAATTGTAAAACGTATTTGAAATATACGTTTTTCAAAACCCTAAAATTGATTTTTAGGGTTTTAATAAACAGATTCTGAAAATACATTTTTAAAAAAAATATTTGAAACCGTATAATAGGAATACGTTTATAGTTAACTAAAAAAATTAAAAAAAAAATAAAAAATGTATAAAAATAATACGTTTTTTTAAATAAATTAAAACGTATTACAAGAATACGTTTTACAATTAAATAAGAGTAAAACGTATTCTTGTAATACGTTTTACAATGAAATAAAAATCAAGTTTCATTCTCTTCTTCTCCATTTCTGCGCGACCATTCAGAGCGAGAGAGAGCGAGGTTTATCGGAAAAAAAAAAACTCGATCCAATTGCCACCCCAAAGTAAATCGATAACAACAACACGAACCTCATTTTTGGTTAATTCATTCGCACGAGGTATATTGGCTTATCTCAACTTTTTACATTGTTTGGATTTGTTTGGAGATTAGGGATTGTTATACTATGTTTGAATGTGGTGGTGTTTGAAGATTGAGAATTGTTAATTGTTTATCGATTATGTATGTATGTTGAATTGGAGATTGGAATTTTGTTGGAAATTGTCAATTGCAAATTGATTTGTTGTTGTTGGGCTTAGGGTTTTTTGAAATTAGGGTTAGAATTAGGGTTTTTAATTTATTGTTCGATTATGTGTATTAGGGTTTTGGAGGATTAATCGGTTGGAAGTAAAAAAAATGGGTTCAAAGAATAATTGGATATTTTGGGTGTTCGATTAGACATTATGTGTTGTTGTAATTGAGTGGAATTGAATTTTTTTTTTTTTTTGCAACAGGAATAAATGGCGTATTGCGGTCCATATTTTGTTAATTTGTATTGGCGATGTGCGAAAGAACAATTTGTTTCATTTATAAATAGTCCGGATGGTTCATTTGTTATTACAGGGAGGATATCATATGGAGAATTGGTACAGATGATTAATGAAAATTGTCGGTTTGGAGAAGGTTAGACAATTGAACAGATTACTTTAATGTTTCGTCAACGCGATGGTTCGTGGAATGCCGGAAGACTCGATAACGATAGTGCTATGCAATGGATTTATTTATCTCCTCTTATGTCCGTTGCGTATTTGCATTTATCGTTGGAGGCAATTACACCGGTTCCACAGTTTGAAGATTTTACTCCTTATTACGGGGGAATGGATGAGGGCACGTCGACTTCTCATCTACGTAATTTTGGAGAAGGGACAAGCTCACCAATTAGAGAAAGGCCAAATGAGGACGAGGAAGAAAGTGACGAAGAGTTCGCACTCGGTGAAGATGATTTCACAGACGAGACCTCCGAAACCGAATCAGATAGATCGGTAAATGAGGGGAGTGAAGCCGAGTTCATTGAAGAAGAACACCCCTTTCCTAGTGGTGGTTGGCACGTATACCGCGAGATGGGTGAATGGGACCCGTCCAGGATAGATAAGGACGAGTATGCTATTCCACTCTGGAATAGCGACATTGAGACCATACGTTTGGGTATAGTTTTTCGGAGCAAGAAAGAAGCCCAAATGGCTCTGATGGCTTGGAACGTCAATAGGTTATGGGAGATTCGGATAAATGATTCGAATCAGAAGTCATACAAAGTGGTCTGCAGATCTAGTGAAGATCCGCCTTGTGTGTGGAAGGCTCGGGTGACTAAGTCCAAATGGGTTCATGAATTGTGGGAACTAACGGAATGGATTGATAGTCACACTTGTATGCAACCGATCGAGAGAAATGACAATAGAAATGTAACCGCCCAAATGATTTCAAATCTCATTCGTAATAAGATTCGAAAGAAATTGGAGTACGGTGTCGACATGATCCAGGCTGATGTGAAACAGTGCTGGAAAGTGGATGTCAGCTACAAGAAGACATGGCACGGAAGAAGAAAAGCCATCGAGAGTGTGTATGGCACTTGAGAATCGAACTTCGCAGAACTCCCTCAGTAAGCAAAAATTAATTACAAATATAGTATATTTATTTAATGTCTGTCGCTATGTTTATCTATTTATTGTGAAATTGTTTTGTAATGTGTAGGTATTTTGCCACGCTTCAAAGAACGAATCCCTCCACAGTTGTAGAGTGGGAATGGCAGGGTAGGGAAATGGCGCGACACCTTCGAGACAGACAATTCAAATTTGTATTTTGGGCGTTTGGTCCCGCCATTCAAACTTTCCAAAGGTGCCCGCCGGTTATTAGCGTTGATGGAACACATTTGCGTGGATCCTACAAGGGAAAATTGCTTGTGGCCATAGCACAGACTGCGAATAAGCGGTTATTGCCGGTTGCGTATGCGCTTGTCGATGAAGAAAGCACGGACAGTTGGTCATTTTTCCTTAGGAATCTGCGGCAACATGTAGTGTTCCAGAGACGTATCTGCATTCTTTCTGACAGGGATGCGGGCCTACTCAGTGCCATTGAATCATTAACAGATTGGCAAGAACCCGCTGCGTATCACCGGATTTGCCTTCGACACCTTCGAAGCAACATGGTGACTAATTTCAGGAGTAAGAAAATTCGGACTTGGTATTGGAAATTGGGTTCGCAGTTGGGAGCGAAAGTTTTGAGAGACAGAACAGCAACTGTTGGCATTGAATCCCGAGGCACACAATTACCTTTTTCGAATTCCTTTGGAGAAAAGATAAAGGACGCAGATGGGGCACATTCACAACGAATATGTCAGAGAGTTACAACAACGTGCTGAAAGGGGTTTGGTTCCTGCCGTGCAGAGCTTTGGTAGATGTCACATTGCATAAAACTCTGGATTTGTTTCAACAGGAACAAAACAAGTCCACGAGATGCAGGACTCCCATTGCTACGGAGCACTATAACGCATATTTGCAATTGGAGCAGACATGCGCCACTCATAATTTCCATGTTAGGGACGCCGACAGCTCCATGTACAAAGTGAAAACCGGTTTACGGGCAAGTGAAAGAGGGCAAAACAAGTAAGTATATTTTTTTTTTACTTTTTTATTTGTCCATTAAATTTTTTCATATTGTATATATATAAATCACTGGGGAATTATTACAGGTATAAGGTAGATTACAACTGAAAACGTTGTAGTTGTCGGAAGTGGCAGACGCATCGGAAACCATGCTCTTATGCGTTAGCCGTCTGTCGTTTAGTTGAGACTGACCCAAAACTGTTGTACAGTGAGTATTTTTGGATGGTGAACTGGGTAGCTCAATTTCGTAATTGGAGTTTTGCTCCGATTGGTAATCCGGATACATGGGCGCCGGTCGAGTGGAAATTGATACCACACTGGGAGAGGATGATCTTGAAGCCTTGACCCGGTCGCGTGCAAACGAGACGATATCGCATGCAAATGGATCGTCGGTCACGCCGCAGGAGGGATAGAGGGCAGTGCGCTAGATGCGGTGTTCCAAATCATGTTGTGGATGAGTGTCCGTCTTCACATCCTTGCACCGACAGGTCTAGACTTCGTGATGAGTGGGGAAACTAGATTTGTTAGTGTTTATTCGAATTTGTTTGCAGAGTTAATTTGGATTTGGTTGGATTATTTGAATTTGATTAGATGATTTGTTTGGAATTGTTTGGATGGTCTTTACTGTAATTTTGGTTTTGATGGTATTTTGGTTTAAATTGTATATTTCGATTTGTTTTGTTGTTTTGGATTGTTAGAACAGGTTTTTCTGGTGTTACAACAGAAAAAAGTTGTATTATTTTTTTTCATCCCCAGTAGAAAACGTATTATTGTAATACGTTTATTAAAAAATAAATTATATTTATTTGAAAAAACGAATTAAACGAATCCGTATTAGTTTTAATTATTTAAAAAACGGATTCCAAAAATTCGTTTTACAATTCAAATTATTTGTAAAACGGATTACCGCAATCCGTTTTTTTAGTTATATTTATTTGAAAAACGGATTCCTCGAATCCGTTTTATAAATTAAAAAAAAGTGTAACGAGGATCCCAGATTCGGGGCTCGAACCCGGGTTCGAGTGAGTCCGTTATCTCTGGGGGCACCTCGTTACCATTAGGCCGCGCTAGGCTATCGCTGAAAATATTGCGCAAGGTTTATTCTTATCCTTCAACATCAAGATTTTTTATAGTATATAGTATTTTTAATATATTGTATATACATATATATTATAATTTAATATATAGTATATACTATATAACATATAATATATAGTATATAGTATATAGTATATCGTATATAACATATAACATATAGTATATAACATATAACATATAACATATAATATATATTATATAGTACATAGTATATAGTATATAGTATATAGTATATAACATATAACATATAGTATACACTATATACTATATAATATATATTATATGGGTTCCAATTTGTAGGCGGGAGGATTCTATATAGATGATTGAACCTCTTTGGAACGCGGAATGTTTCGGATAGAGCACATGAGGAGTTACAAGGCTGAGGTTGAGTACCAGGGAGAGGACAATCCCGGGAAATTGGAAAGAGGTTCGAAACATTCCGCGTTCCAAAGAGGTTCGATCATCTATATAGAATCCTCCTGCCTACAAATTGGAACCCATCCTCCTCCAAATTGTCCACACGCCCAATCTTGCTTTGCACCTTCCCAAACGTTATCATATCTCCCGACTTCACCTTTCTCCCGGGATTGTCCTCTCCCTGGTACTTAACATCAGCCTTGTAACTCCTCACGTGCTCTGTCCGGAACATTCTGCGTTCCAAAGAGGTTCGATAATCTATATAGAATCCTCCCGCCTACAAATTGGAACCCATCCTCCTCCAAATTGTCAACACATCCAATCTTGCTCTGCACCTTCCCAAACGTTATCATATCTCCCGACTTCACCTTTTTCCCAGGATTGTCCCCTCCCTGGTACTCAACATCAGCCTTGTAACTCCTCACGTGCTCTGTCCGGAACATTCCGCGTTCCAAAGAGGTTCAATCATCTATATAGAATTTTCCCGCCTACAAATTGGAACCCATCCTCCTCCAAATTGTCCACACGCCCAATCTTGCTCAGCACCTTCCCAAACGTTATCATATCTTCCGACTTCACATTTTTCCCGGGATTGTCCTCTCCCTGGTAGTCAACATCAGCCTTGTAACTCCTCACGTGCTCTGTCCGGAACATTCCGCGTTCCAAAGAGGTTCGATCATCTATATAGAATCCTCCCACCTACAAATTGGAACCCATCCTCCTCCAAATTGTCCACACGCCCAATCTTGCTCTGCACCTTCCCAAACGTTATCATATCTCCCGACTTCACCTTTTTCCCAGGATTTTCCTCTCCCTGGTACTCAACATCAGCCTTGTAACTCCTCACGTGCTCTGTCCGGAACATTCCACGTTCCAAAGAGGTTTGAAACTAGAAACTATAAACTATATAATATAAACTATATAATAAAAAAATTAATTTCATAAAAATTAAATTGTAAAACGGATTTGACGAATCCGTTTTCTTTGTGTAATTATTTGAAAAACGGATTTATGAAATCCGTTTTATAAATAAAAACAACATGAAATCCGTTTTATGAAATCCGTTATTCTTATCCTTCAACATCAAGATTTTGTATAGTATATAGTATTTTTAATATATTGTATATACATATATATTATAATTTAATATATAGTATATAGTATTTTTAATATATTTTATATACATATATATTATAATTTTACATATAGTATATAGTATACAGTATATTTTATATAGCATATATTATATAGTATATAACATATAACATATAACAGATACTATATAATATATAGTATATAACTATAACATATAATATATAGTATATAGTATATAGTATATAACATATAACATATAATATATAGTATAGTATATAACATATAATATATAGTATATAGTTTATAGTTTATATGTTATGGTATACTTTGTAGTTTATATGTTATACTTCTATAATTAATATGTTCATATATAATATATACTATATAATATATAAAATATATACTATATAAAATATACTGTATGCTATATACTATAAAAAAATCTTGATGTTAAAAGGATAAGAATAAAATGTGTGCAAAAATATCAGCGATAGCCTAGCGCGGCCGAACGGTAACGAGGTGCCCCCAGAGATAACGGACTCACTCGAACCCAGGTTCGAGTCCCGAATCTGGGATCCGCGTTAAATGTTTTTTTATTTATAAAACGGATTTCACAAATCCGTTTTTCAAATAATTACACAAAGAAAACGGATTCCATGAATCCGTTTTACAAATAAATATAAGTAAAAACCGAGCCTTCTTCTCTTCTCCTCTTACGCAAACAGAAGCACAGAGAGAGATTGAGAGATTGAAACTGTGAGCTCGGAAGAAAAAAAATTCCCGTCGCTCGTCCGTCGTCCGCTGCCCCACCACCGCTTCGCCGCCCGCCGCTGCTTGCCTCTCCACTGCCACCGCGCGTCCTTCCCATCTATAAGGTACATTTCTTCTCTTAATGCTTTGATTTTTATAATTTTCAATAATTTCAAATTAGGGCAAAAATTAGGGTTTTCAATAATTCTTCGAGATATGGATTGAGATATGTTGATGGGTTGTTAGATTATGTTAGATTATGTTTGTTTGCGCAAATTGATGGGTTATTTGGATTATGTTAGGGTTTTGTAGTTTGTTTGAAAATTTATGATTTGAAGGTGTTCGATAAAATGACTCAAAGGGATTGTTGTACATATTGTTAACATATTGTGAATTTGTGATGATTGTGATGAGGTGAATTTATTTGTGAATTTTTATAATATGTTTAGGGATTATTTTGTCGCAAATTGAATTGTTGGAGTCGAATTGTCGATTAGAGATTATTTTCGATTTATTGTGTATATGATTTTTGAATTTGTGAATTTATTGTTTATTTAATTTATTTGTGGTTTTGTGATATTTTTTTTTGTGAATATGATTGTATTATTGATTGTAGTATATAATGATTGAATTAATGTAGTATATAATGACTTTTTTTTGGCAGAAAATGGCATCTTCGTCGTCCTCACAACCGCAGCGCTACAATGTACATCCCGGTCCGAGGGATCCATCCACTCTATATCTTCAGTACTGCCACCGGTCGAGTGATTTGTTCGAAGATATAGGTGGATGTCGTGACGGCGTCATTAAACCCCGCCGTTTCGACATTCAGTTCTGGAAGGCGTTGGATCACCAGCATCCCAGAGTTTGGGATGCCATCGAGAAGACGGGGTCTGGCCCGCTGTTTCGAATGGGCAGAGTTATGACCGACAACAACCTCGTCACGTGTCTGGTGGAAAGGTGGCGACCGGAGACGCATACCTTCCACTTTGACTTCGGGGAGGCCACCATCACGCTGGAGGACGTACAAGTCCTTTTTGGTCTCCCGATCGATGGAGAGCCTTGTTGGGGAGCGACTCAAGATAACACACCCCATAAATGGCAAGAAATTTGTAATGATTACCTAGGGTTCGAGCCCTATGTTCAGGTAATTTTTTTTCTTACAAATTTGTTTTTTTGTTTTTAATTTTATTTATGTTTACTCAATTCATTAATTTTTAATATATATAAACCACTCTCAGGATCCCGACGAACCGGTTCAAGACCCCAAGACTTGGGCCATTCATGGCCAGTATTTGAAGGTCTATGCGTTAGAAGACGAGTGCAACAGAGAGCTAACCGATGTGGAGCATATCCCCACCTACGAGGCGAGGGCGAAGGCCCTTATACTCTGGTGCATCGGTTCTTTCTTCTTCCCCGACCAAAGGAGAAATGGAGTGAACCTGTACTGGTTGCAGCTTTTGCACGACATTGATACGATCAAGACGTACAGCTGGGGTTCAGCGGTCCTGGCCGGAGTGTATAGAGCGCTCTGCACGAGCGCCAGGTCCGGGGAAAACTGGATCAAGAATTGTGTCCAATTGATTCAGGTAAATTTATTTGCTTCTTATTTGAAAATTCATTTTTTTATTCTAATTTAGACTAATATCTAATAACAAATGAATATGTCGATATGTGTAGGTTTGGGCATATGAACGTATTCCTCTTATTCGCCCAAGAATGAGGGATACGAACTTTGAGAGAGTCCCTGCTTGTCCCTTAGGTGCAAGGTAATAAAATTTATTTCTACTTAATACTTAGATTATTTCCACTATCAAATTTTGTGATTACAAATTGTTTTTTTTTGTTACTGTGATTTTTAAGGTGGGTGGGAAAGAGGAGCACGACACACCTGGGCAAGGGAACAGCCACCAACCGGGATCAATTGACAGGGCTCACAGAGACAGATGTAAGATTATTATTATTATTATTATTTGTTCTTTGTTTTAATTTTTTTTATAACTTAATTCCTAATTATTTTTTTTGTATATTTTTTTTTTTTCAGTTCGAATGGCTACCCTATTAGTGGCACCTGCAAGCAAATGTTCTCCCAACCCAGTGTACAGAAGGTTCACACCTCTGGATGTATAGGGGGTGGATCTTCAACTGGAACGTCCGTAAACTCCACCTGCCTGATAGGGTCCTCCGTCAGTTCGGGTGCCGGCAGTCCACCCCCGAGCCTCCTATCATTACGACTGAGAGCGAATATCGGTTACACCATCGAGGCCAGGGGATGACTGGGATGCCAGTTTTTTATTGGGTCGCCTTTCACGGAGAGTTTGGGAATGCTTGGGTCGAACATAGAGACGAAAATGTTGTCCCAGCCCTCGCAGTGGAGCCATTCATTGAGCCTAAGCCGGGTTACCTTGATTGGTTTCACAGTATCACTGTGAGACTACTCGGTGACCCTGGCAAGTACGCGGTGGCCCAACCGGACAGAGGCTTTCACCCACTTGCCGAGCAGGGGAAGTGCGATGTAAGTAATATATATTTGTGTTTTATTATTATTATTATTATTATTATTATTTTTTTTTTTTCTTTTAGTTTTTTTTTGTTTTTGTTTCATTATAATTGACTTTGAATTTAATTTTCAGGCTACCGCCATGGAGGGTGCTTTTCACACATTATCTAACGTGGACCACCTACATCATACACTCCATCCAGATGTGTTGACGGCATTCGAACAGGCCAAGAGCCTTCTATACAGTTCTCTGGCTGTCAGAGGCGGAGACGTCGCACAAGCGACGTCGTCGAGCCAAGTTCTCTCGCAGGAGAGTTACGTCCGATCCTAGAGGACGCAGTCACAACGGGCGAGGCATCGACCTGCTCCCAACATTGGTGGAGGTAGAAGACGACGCGACCGCCAACCCGCTGCCGACACCGTGCCTCAGGAAGAAGAAGAAGAAGAAGGTGAAATTTTTTAAGTTAACACAAAAATATAATTTTGTTTATTTTTTGTGATTTTTGTTAAGTCAAATTTCTGATTTCTTAAAACAATGAATTACTCGGCTGAAGAAGAAGAAGAAGAAGAAGAAGAAGAACCTACCATGCCCACAACATCATCTTCTTCACGACCACCACGGCGTCGGGTTAGCTCCCGACCACGCAACCCTACGAATCGATACACTCCTAGTTAGTTGTGTTGTATTCCGGGAATTTTGTGGACATATATATTTATTTTTTTCTTTCTTGGTGGATTATGTGTAATGATATTTTGACATATTTGGATTTTTATATTTGGACAATGAATTATTGTGCTTCATTTTTCTTTCTTTGACGAATGGATTGATATGAGCTTGTGTAATTAATATTTGGTTGTGGAATCGATCTCGATTAACAGGTGTGTTTTTGTAATTTTTCTGTAATTTTTGTTGTTTCTGCACAGTAAAACATATTTTCAAAATACGGTTTTTGTTTTGTTTTTTTTTTACAAAAACGTATTTCAAGAATACGTTTTACTTCGCAAAATTAGGGCAAAATCAATTTGAGGCTAAAATTAGGGCAAAATCAATTTTGGGCTAAAATTAGGGTTAAAAAACGTATTTTCAAAATACGTTTTATATTTTTAATTATTATTTTCTTGAAAAATTTGTTTTCAAAAATTGTAAATATTAATTTTATTTATAAAACGTATTATAATTAAAAAATAAATATATAATTATTTTTAGTTATAAAACGTATTCGAGTAATACGTCTTTTTTTTTTTAACTTAAAACGTATTTAGGTAATACGTTTTACCATATTTTAATTAACTTAATTACGTTTATTACGTTAATTATTTTGTTTTGCCAAAACAAATTCATTAAATACGTTTTACTAATAAAAACATATTCTGTAAATACATTTAACATAGAAAAACGGATTTACAAAATACGGTTTTAGATTTTTTTCCACTTTTTTTTATCCATTTTTTTATTTTTTTTTATTTTTATCCCCTCTATATATAATTTCAAAATGCGCTGAGCCTACGTGGCAAACTCTCATACTTCGGAATCCTATTATATAAAAAATTATGCTTTGGAGTTAGGCTTGGATATAAATTAATATTTGTATTAATTGTATTTCAATATCATTTACTATTATTACCATTGAATTGCAAATATATTTAAAGTTGATAACTTTTGTATTTATTATCGGTTTTACATATATAATATATCAAATTAATCATCTTTTGATGAGCTTCGATTTGACATCCATATTGTATATATAAAATAAATAAATTATATTTATCTTTATAATAATAATAGAATTATCTATTAAAATTAATTAGAAAATAAAATTATTTATCAATTAATATATTTATGTTTAATGTAGTTATATATTATAAGGTAGAAAATTTAATTAATATAACACATATCCCTCCTTAATATAATTTCAAAACGTGCTGAGCCTAAATGGCTGGTTCGCACGCTTCGAAAGCTTACTTGGCAACATTACATGTTTCGACTTTTGATTTGGATAAAAATAATATAATTATATTTTCAAAATAAATAGGACCCCAACTCCAAATAGGATTCTTATTCTTATCTCGTCCAAATAGGATTCTCATTCTTATCATAGTTTATTTTAATTCCTTCAAAAGTTTTTTTTAATCACTTATTCTTATCCAAAATTCACATATGTAATACACGGATCTAAACTATCACCGTCTGTTTAAATATATAAAAAAAAATCAAACTTTAAAGGTTGTTGCATATTTTTTATTCTTATTATGTCGTGTATAATAAATTTGAAATGCCGTGTATTTTGCTTAATCCTACTATTATATGAGCCGTGTAGGATAAAGTGTTTCAAATGTTAAGAATCCTATTATGCCGTGTATTTTGCTTAACCCGAAATCGGTTTGAAAAAGTTCTCTACATTATTTAAATCACCATCCTCTTCATCTCAATTATTCATCTTACAAAAATTGAATTTACCATGACAACTGTTTTCAACACAATTGAGCGTTATGGTTCAAACATGACAAGAACCACCTGAAAATCGTGTTCTAATGGAGATTTGTGTCTTAGACAAAAAAGTTACACGGTGGTTTCAATTCAGCACCTTATCCTTCGTATGCCCCTTTTGATTATTATCATATGAGCTATAGGTATTATAATTCGAGTTATTTTATTACATCAATTATTGTCCTCTGCGTTATGTTTAAGAAATTTCTAGAAAATCCTTAATTTGGTATGACTGGTTATGCTTATAGAGTTAGATTTATTTTCCCCTGTAGATATAAAGATGATCAAATATAGTCTTTTGTTTTGCATTTATCTCAACAGTCAATTTTCTTTTCACTAATCCAGCAAGCCTGAAAAAAAATATTTAAACCAAATACCCATGTAAATACACGGGTGTTGAATTAGGAAGCATATGTAAAAAATATTAATTTTTTTAAATTAAAATAATTTAATTTAATATAAAATATTACTTTGGGTTTTCATTAATTTGTCAAATTATATAGAGTCTGAATATTTTTGTTTTCTATTTTTGTACTTTTATACAACAATAGGTGTTTTTTCTATTATTTATTGTTTTATATTTTTTTTCAAACAACCCGTATAGTACACGAGTGTCGTACTAGTTTTTAAATAAATAAAAAAATCCAATAAATAACACAGTAGAGGGTGCTGTGTTAGTTAGCACCGTAGGCACCCCAAAATTTAACAAACCCTACAAAAACCCTGAAGCTCTTCTTCCCCCAAAACCTCCAATGTCGTCTTCTCCTTTTCTTCTCCTTCAAGCTAATAATCCAAACTGTTAATTTCACTTCGCTTCATGCATTCATATCTCTGCATAAGCTCTATCGACCTTCACGAATAAGCAACTATATTTTATTTTCTTAAAAATGGCTAAAAATTGCGCATCTGGGATTTTAGCTGGTCTAGCGTATGTTACTTTCGGAATTGATCATGCTTATGCGGATGGGTCGTTCAATTTTTCTCCATTCTCTAGTGCTTCTTCGGCGGCGCCTCAGCAGGCTACTCCGGAGCCGGCGATGGCTCCAACTCAGCCGGCAGTGGCCGAGCCACCTCGAGTTCGTAATGATAATCCAAGGACGACGTCTGCTGGGTTCGACCCTGAGGCTTTGGAGAGGGGTGTCAAGGCTTTGAAGGAGATTACTAGTTCTTCACATGCTAAGAAGGTTCTGATTTTTTTTTGGTTCTTTTTTTCCTCATTATCATGTTTGAATCAGTAGTTTCAGTTGAAATATTGGAATTTGAGGAAAATTAAGGATTTTACCTCTCATTTCACTTTCAGCCTCATATTGGTAGATGTGT